CAGGAAGTTTATTTTTTTTCCCTTGACATGGCATTTTTCTCTAGTACACACTTGCACAATTTCTGCATTTCCTTTGACTCCTCTTGCCTTGCTTCTAGCACTCAAGAATTGACAAACTAGAGGGTTTAGTTCAATGATGATGACTTACTGTAATAATCGGCACTGGAATCGCTTTTGCTAAAGGAATACAGCCGGACTGGGGCCAGCTGTCCTGCAGTGAAGCATACCTCAGTCTACCAGCTTTTCCTTGCACTTTGCAAACAGGGTCCCCAGGGAACAGACAAACTCACAAGTCCACATTTTTCCACAGGAGCCACTGCTAGCATGGGGCTTCTTTGGGGTGAGAAATCCCCTGGAGGAGTCAGGTCACTGCCCTGAGCTAACTGCGCCACTTGCAGTAGAGATGGGGAGCACACTCTCCCTCCCTGCATATCCAACCTGCCCAACCAGCCAGGAGAGAAGAAATCCTCCCCCGGCACAACATGTGCTGTGACAGAGCCCTTCCAAAAGCTGCTATGTCCCTTCAGCTCAGGCAGTGGGTGGATGGAGACAGCTGCTCCTTCCTGCAGCTGCCCAGGCTGCCATGCAGGGTACGCAGCAAGGGCTGCCCCACGGTGTGTAGAACTGCAGCGTGCTGGACAGACAGTCCTCCCACACAGCCCAAGAAGTGTCATCGCTTCAGCATCTTTGAAACCCTGCAAGCATCAATAAACAAGTGTGGGGTTTCTCTAGCAGCAACCCACAGCCTGGGGAAAGCCACAGCCGAGAAAGCCCTTACGTGGAGGTTTACTCAGACCTTAAGTGGATTTGCAATTAGACAACAGCAAAATGTCAGACTGCTCTTATCGTCACTGTGCTTCACAGGTCTTTCACAATCACAGCATAGTTGCTGTTTCCAAGTGCTGCACGGCCACCGTGCTCCAGGGCCAGGCAATGCACTGAGCAAACAGTTTCAGCAAACCAACAATGAGCCTGCGGCAGATATTCAGCCACAGAGCTGCTGCAGGTCTCTGGGGTCAAACAAAGCGGTCCTGCCACCTTTGTCCCTTTCACAGGGAGACACCATTCTCTTCGGCCGACCATCTAGCACGCAGACCCAACTGCAGGTGAAGCTCTCTACCTGAAGTACACCAGAGGATGAGGCTGTGCCAGATGCAGGGATCTGCCCCTTCCCCAGGAACACCGGGAGGAACTACAGCAGACAGCCGGACATCCCGAACAGATCGGCTGAGCCTGACAGCCTCCAGAAAGGAAGGGCAGCAGCAGGCCTGCTGTTTATCAAATCTGTAAACAAGCTATGGAAGATATGCAGTGCAGAACATATCTGCAATGAGAATGGCTTTCCCACTGCTCAGTACTCCTCCTCTCCTGCAGGTTCCCCAGACCTTCCCTGTGGCACCTGGCACAGACTGGCAGTGCCCTGCCTGCTCAGCAACGACCTACTCAGCTCAGAGTGAGACGGTTGGGAGATGGATTGATTTTGACAGTAAAGCGTGAGATGCAGAGAGAGCTTCTCACACATTCTCACAACTCACTTCCAGACACAGAAGTAGTGAGTTCACAAAACAAATGAGTGTGCAACCTGAGACTGCTTCAGTAGCTGTCTTCTGCTGTCACTATGGATTTAAGATGTTGTCAACCAGTCGCACAGTCAGCCCAAGGCCCCGGGACACCTTCCGCAGCAACATCAGGGACAGCTTTGCCCATCAGTGAGCTGTTCTCAGAACATCAGTGCCACCCAGCAGAAGGAACAGTTGTCATTGAGGACGGAGCAGAGATTACTAGATTACTACAGCTTGTGCACAAAAGCAGTGGAATTTCATCGGCAGAAGCAACGATAAAAGGCAGTGATCTGATTCATCTGTCAAGAGCCCCAAAATACAAAAATGTCTGCAAACACGACAAGCCACGCATTTGTAACTTCATTTACAGTGCTTTTACTCAACTGCTGCTCTGTCCTGAGCGGAATTGAGCCCCAGTTCTTGGAACAAAATGAAGCACGTAGGAAAGCAAATATGTTTATTTCAGTCTGCTGAGTGTTTGCTAACCGCAGCGTGTCAGTGCTTTATGACTTTGATAACTTTACTCTGCTTTGGTCTTCCTTGTGTAACTGATCTTAGCAATTGAGTTTCATTATCACATATCTTTGGAAACTAAACAGAGTGAACCACACCACTGACAGCTGACGGGCCATTACCAGGCTCTTTACAAGGAAGGAGGCAGTGGGCAGCCCTGCATTTTTCAGGGCTTGTCAGTGTGGTCTCAAACTTCAGCACTTATCTCAAAACAGGGTGATGTCTCCCATCTGGATGATAAGCCCACATGCCGATCAGACAACCTCGTGACAGCCACTCCGGGAGGTTCAAAGCCCTCTATAGAAGCAGTGTGACAGCTCAAAGCAAACCTCTGTGTGGAGCATTCAGACACAGGATGAATCCCCAGTGTGACACAACAAATCTCTTAAGCGTCTGCTTTTGGAGAATGCCCCAAAGCATCTTCTCCAAGGAGACCTCTCTGCTTTATGGGTAAGACAGCACTGATGCTTTCTCTTACCTGAAGCTTCCCAACCAGCCATGTGGGAAAGCAAGGTCCAGAAAGAAATGAACTTAATACCTAAAAATATGCTTACCTAAAATATAAGATACTCCATAAGCAAAAAGTTTTTTTTTTGTAAATGGGAGGTAGCAGAGATTCTAGAGAAATGTGCTTCCATATGAAAGGTACACAAACACCATAGTGATGGGCATCACCGTGTATAAACAAAACAGATGCTCGGCCAGCAAGATTTCCACTCTGAAGAGGAACTAAATTCTCCTTTAGGCTCATGCAGATCATAGGAATCCTCATGGGAAACCCAGGGATACAATTTCTCCATGTATCTCTGCTGCCACAGACCTCTACCCATCCACAGTGCCCATGTCACCACTGTGGGGTTGTTCCCCCCTCCTCAGGGCTGCCCCAGGACTCACCACTCGGGGCTTCTGCTGGTCCAGAGTCTGCAGAAAGGCAGGTGCCTGGTCCAGGGTGCGCTCAGGGTCACTGGAGATGTCCTCCTCAGACTCTTCCCAGGATGATGAGAAGCCAGTGGAAGAGGCTGATGATGAGGACAGCTTCCGGACAGGCAGGCTGCTGGGAGGCACGGCTCCTGCCTCCTCCTCCGGGCCTCCCAGGTCTGTGATGATGACGGCAGGGATGCTACCACCAATGACTGGGTACTGGCCCTCCTGTCCTGAGGTGGCCATCACCACCTCACCTCGCTGCAGGCTGGGATCTGATGGCTCCATCCCCACCACCTGCCCCTCCATCACCACGAGGCCCGCGGTGCTCGGCTGATCCTGGGCCCTACCAGCGTCTGGATTCTTGCTCTCCCCATAGGCCCGTGGCCGGGGTCCTGTGCCAAGCCCCATCATCGGCACCGTGGGGCTGGCAGGCTGGGATGAGGATGGCCGGGGTGAAGAAGGCCGAGGCGAGGATGGCCGAGGTGAGGATGGCTGGGGCGAAGACGGCCGAGGAGAGGATGGCAGGGGGTTCCACAGCGAGTGGGCCCCAGAGCTGTGTGCCTGGATGTGTGCCTCGAAGAGCCCCACTTTCTGGTTCACCTGAACGTTGTGCAACTCTCGCTGCAGGCGCCGTGCCGCAGGGGAGCCTGGTGGCCTATCTCCTCCCCGACTGCCCCGCCGGCCCCCAGGGCTGCCCAGCTGCGGAGGGGGCTCCTCAGGTGGAGGGAAAAGGAACGCGGAGCTGAGGCGTGGGGAGCGGGGCGGCGCAATGGTTGGGCTGAAGGCAGGGAGCGGGCAGCAGCTGCCAGCTGTCTCGGGGGTCCTGGGCAGCGCTTGCCTGGAGGGAGGTGGTGTCTTGCTCCCGCTGCTTTTCACCTCACTACTGCTATTCATCATCACCAAGCTATTGAGCGCATAGCAGTACACAGCCATAGTAGTCAGCCGGGGCGCACAGGCAGGCTGCCGCCTCGGCACTCAGGCTCAGCGGGGCTGCCGGGGCTCTCTCCACACCAGGATCAGCAGCATCGCCAGGGAGCAGCAGGGGAGCTGGGCTGGTTCTGGTCCGCAGCTCCATAAAATGGGATGCCTACAGAGAGGGAGAGGGAAAAATGAGAGGGACTCTGTGCACAGCGGGCAGCCATTCCAGCAACAGAGTTAGGGAGCGGGGGCCAAACCAGTGGGAGCTGAAAGTTGGAAGCTTCTGAGTGCTTGTTCCAAAAGCTGACATTTTTGGAGGGAAGCGAAAAAGTCCAAACAGCTCAAATTTGCCACCTTCTGGTTTGTCACCTACACCCAGTCTCATTCAGTGATTTCATTCAATGACACCTGCCTGCCCAATTGGGGACCACATCCCCACCACCCTGCCCACCTATTTGCAACAGCACGGGTGTGCACAGCTGCACGCGTGCTCTGTCCCATTTCCCTGCACACACCCCCTGGGCTTTGCAGCTGCCCCATTAACAGCCCGCGTCCCGCTCACGGAGGCAGCTGGGGGCGGCAGCTCTGCGTGCACGCAAGAGGGGCTCTGCTTTTGCCTCCTGGCGTTCCTCTGCTCTCCTGCCTGCCTTGCTTTGTGCCCGTTTGTTCCGTACGCCTCCGGAGCCGCAATCCTCATCCCGTGCCCGGCGATGGGAACCCCACGACATCCACACAGAAACGCAACCTACGCAAGGGTGTGGGCTTGTTTATGACCCTATGTGCTAACCCCGGAGACGGGAGTACACTTCTTCGGAAGTGCCGTGATGCCACCACACGCGCCCCCCGCGCGACTCCGGGCAGATAAGCGCCCCCAGGTTTCCGCGCAGCCCCCGGCACCTGGAACCCGGCTCCGTCCCCTCCCGCCTTCCTCCTCCCTCCCGGCCCTCCCGGAGGGCAGCCCGGGCCGCCCGGAGGAGCTTACCTGGAGCAGGCTCTGCGCCCGCCTCAGTGCGCGCCGCCCCGCCAGCCGCAGCGCGATGCCGGAGCCATCTCCGCGGGCGCGGTGCGCGCTGCGCCGTCGGAGTTCCGCGCTCCCCGCGGATATATCGCCCCTCGGGGACGGGAGAGCGGCGTTCCCCGCTCCGCGCTGCGGCCAGGTCCGCGGAGCCCTCTCGTCGTGCGGCCGGAACGGTGGGGAGAGCAGGAGCAGCGGCAAGAGCAGGAGAAGGAGGAGGAGAGGGAGAGGAGCCGAGAGAAGGAGGAGAGCGGAGGGAGGGGGTAGGAAAGCAGGAAGGAAGTTGTGAGCCTGTCTGGGGTTGAACTCAGCGGAACAAGTTTCTTTTTTTTTTTCGCTCTCTCGCTCGCTCTCTTGGTCGCTCTGTGCTGCTTGGCAGGACCGCTGGAGGGAAACACTAAAAAAAAAAAAAAAGTTTCCATTGTTAACTAAGAAAAAAACCACGTTTCGGCCTCTGTGGGTTAAAGATACACGATCCGTTTTCCACCCCTCTCCCCGGCGCCCTGCAGCTGGCTCGCTGCGAGTCCTGCACCCTCAACTCTGCACGGGGCCTGGCCCTATGGGGCTCCACATGGTGCCCGGGACAGCTGGCAGGGACAAAAGGACAGACGCACCCTCCCACTCTCCTCTCACACCTCTGCTTCCCTTTCCAGCCCCCCTCCACCCCCCCTTTGGCCTTCATATTCCTCTTCTGTATACAACCACTGAGGCAAAGTCTTGTGCCTGCACCCACAGGAACAAAGACCTGAAGGTCCCCGATCCACCCATGCACCCACTGTAAGGCAGACATCCGCCTAGGCAGTCACAACAGCTCGGTCCTGATGCTTTTCAGCACGTTGGTCACCTGCAGCAGACCAAAGTCAGGCTGGACAGGCTCTGAGCACTGGATGGAGTTGTAGGTGTCCCTGCTCAATGCAGGAGAGTTGGACCAGATGGCCTTTAGGGGTCCCTTCCAACTTGGTTCTACGCCACTGGGTTGGGCAGCCTTGCATGAGCACATCCCATGGGGTGGGTGGCCACCGGTGGCCAAACCCAAGGGATGGAAGCTGTCAGGCACATCCGTTCCTGTGGCTCTGCCCCGGCTTTGGGCAGGGCAGCCACTTCCAGGACACTGCTGTCCTCTCTGGGACAGAGGAGGCCACAGGCAGTGCTTCCTCAGCTCCTCAGCCCCCAGGCACGGGTCCCACTTGGCAGAAGAAGCAGGCTCTTGGCTGTGATACAGTGTGATTTCTGTATCAAGATAACTCATTGGATATAGTTGTCCCTGTGTCAGCACTTCAGGAGAGCAGGCTCTGTAATTTGCTCTCCGAGTAGTGTCAAGGTCAGACCTAGATGGCAACTTCTGGGTTGGTCTGGATTGGCCATGGAAAAAGACAAAAAAAAAAAAAAAAAAAAGAAAAACAACCCAAACCAAACAGCTGTGAAATGTCTCTGCTGGGATTTCACAGCTAGGAATTTTCCCTAGAGGGGGAAATGGATGTCACAGCAGACCAGCTTTTTGTCATTAAGGCGTAACCTCCTGAGTCTAAACAAGGGGCAGAAAGGCCTCTGAATCTGCCGAAGGTGCGGACTGCCAATCCCACAGGCAGACAGACGGACACCCAGAATGAGCTTATGTTTGTTTTTCCAGTAGAGAAATGTTATTTTGAATTCAGGGCAGGAAAAGAGATTTTTAGACTTTTTCCACTTGAGCCTGTTCCCTCAGTGTCTGTGCTCGGTTAGGAACTGGTCTTTCACGAAATAAAGCCTGTGATCAATCTTTCTCAGCAAAGTGACCCACTGAGTATAATGGCACTATTCATGGGCACAAGCTTACTCATGTGTGCAAATATCTGCAGATTCCATTTTTTTTTGTTGCTCTCATTCCCTCACATCAGCCAAAAGTGGGAACATTTGAAAGAAAAAATAAATTCAGATAGATAGATGCAGATGAAAGGGTATCTTCCTTCTTAAAGGAGCTTAAAAGAGCAGCACTGTGGTATTCTAATATAATATGCACGTACTTGCAAGCACTGCTGCATATCTGTTTGCATGTTTTGACTGTTCTGTGGGGTTATTTACATTGAGAGAATTCTCACCAGCATAACCATGATGGGTGCTTAAAGTCCTTTCTTAAAGTCAAAGAACCATAGAATCCCCCAGGTTGGAAAAGACCTCCAAAATCATGCAGTCCATCCATTCACCTATCACCAATATTTCCCACTAAGCCATGTTCCTTAGTACAACATCTAAATGTTTCTTGAACACTTCCAGGGACTGTGACTCCACCACAGAATCACAGAATCACAGAATCACAGAATCACAGAATCACCCGGGTTGGAAGGGACCTCAAGGATCATGCAGTTCCAACCCCCCTGCCTAGCAGGGCCACCAAACATACACATTCAGATCAGGTTGCCCAGGACCCCGTCCAACCTACCACCTCCCTGGACATCCCATTCCAACGCCTGGACATTCTTTCAGAGAAGAAATATTTCCTAATGGCCAAGCTAAACCTCTCCCGGCACAACTGGAGGCCATTCCCTCTAGTCCTATTGCTAGTTACATGGGAAAAGAGGCCAACCTTCATCTCGTCACAGTCTCCTTTCAGCAGTTGTAGAGAGTGATAAGGTCTCCCCTGAGCCTCCTCTTCTCCAACAGAATCACCCCAATTCCTTCAGCTGCTCTCCATAAGACTTGTGCTTCAGACCCCTCACAGCTTTGTCGCCCTTCACACTCCAAGGTCAAAATGTCTTACTTGTAGTAAGGGCCCAGATGTGAACATGGTACTCAAGGTGCAGCCTCAGCAGGGCTAAGTACAGAGGGATGATCACACCCCTGCTCCTGCTGGCAACACTATTTCTCATACAAGCCAGGATGTCATTGGTCTTCTTGGCCACCTGGGCACAGTGCTGGCTCATGTTCAGGTGAGTCCCCAGGTCTGTTTCCTCTATACAGTGTTCCAGTCACTCTGCCCTACATCTGTAGTTTTGCCTGGGATTGTTGTAGCCAAAGTGAAGGACTCAGCCCTTGGTCTTGTCCTCAGCCCAGCTATCCAGCCCATCCAGATCACACAAGTCACACAAATTCAAGTCCCTTCTGATCCCATCCTATCTGCAGAGGTCAAGACAAGGGAGTAGTGAACTCGCTGCAGCATATTTACTGATTCAGAACTACCTAATGGGTCATGGCCTTAAAATATTGCAGAATTTGGGCCAAAGAATTGCAATATGTGATGTCCAGAGAGAGTGTTAGAGCTATTCTGTGACATTACACTAGCAACAAGTTTCTCTTTATGAAGGAAGCTGCTAATAAAAGTTGAGAGAAAAAAATATATATCCAGGGATAAATACCTTTTCAGAATGGGCAGGTATGGGTAGAAAATAATTACTTTCAGACTACAGCCAGGCAGCAGTGCACATTGTGTAGTGAAGAAACTGCAGGCAGCTTTCAGCACACTTGTTTCCAATCAAGTGGAAACCAAGTGTCTGAGCTTGGACTAAGTGAAAAGCACAAACTGAAACACACTGTTAGTCCAAACCAGCAACAAGAATGGAGGTAAGAAAGCAGACAAGTTTTTCTCCTAGACCAGATGGAGTCTCCAGACACAGCGCAGCTGTAGCTGCTTGGTGCTGCTGAGGACACCCTACGTATCTTTGGCACTTTTGCATTCAGTGCTCTAAGAAGAGAAAATAAGGACAGCCCCACTCTGACTCACTTGCCATCTCAGCACACATCATCAAGCAAAAGTGCAATTTGCATTCCCAAAAGAGCTCACTTATGCTTAATCTGTGTTCTTCATTTGAATTTATACTTCTTGCTCCCAAAGAAAAGCATTGCAATGCGTGAGGTTATCAAAGCAGGCTGGGTTATGTCTTTGTATGCAAACACTTGTGTGGGCGCCTTCTCCTTGTTCTAGTGTGAGGCCACTAAAACGAGCAGACTCTTCCACTTAGGAAAGGCTCATGTTCACAGCAGGATGTATTTATTCCTGAAACAAAGCAAGGACAGACAATTAAGGTCACAAAGCTGTCCTGGCTGTGTAACATCTCCTGCTGACACACGACTGTAAGTGTTTTGGGAAAGAAATATCACAGCTGTCAAAACTAATGTCTTCTCAGCACCTCAGTGCACTTGAAGGCAGACCAATTAATTATTGTGCTTTATTTAAAAATAGTTGTTCCAAATGTGTTCGCTGCACCCAGTGAACATGAGCAAGTCTCAGTACTTTACACTCCAAGTGCATGGCATATTCCCCTGATCTGTTTTCCTTAGGGAAAACTAGAGAAGATGTGTACTGCTTTAAAGGACACATTCCCCAATCCAAACAGCAGTAACAATGAAAAAAAAACAAAACCACAGAGATTATGGAAACAAGGTCCTGTACTGCAGAAACACCTCCTTCTATGGAGAGGGCAGAACAGTTGTATGATAGATGCTGGTCATCCTACTCAAACACTTAGATGCACTCAATTCATATGGCATGGGCTGTGTTGTAAAGCTATAATAGGACAGAAAGGACCACAATCCATTTGGTATCAATCCAGTTGTTAAAAAAACACAGAAAAATAGCATAATAGCAGAGTCATAAAACACCAATTCCTTAAGTATCCTTCTTACATTCTTCCTTTGTATTAAAATTCATTTTGTAAATTATTACTTTCTCATGTTTTGGACCAGTTGGACAAAACAGCCTTCACTGTATTTCAGAGTTGAGTCTTCTGAATGGCCACAATTTATCAATTTCAGCACCAGAAGGATTGTCAGCATCACTGCAGTGAAAGCCAGTATTTTATAGCACTTTCTCACCAGTGAGTTGAATATCATCATCTTGTAAAATATAGAAATGGACAAATACAGAGTAATTCTAGAGCCAGAAAGTGTGATGGAAAATCAATTTGGCTGATACTTCATGAGAAAAGGAACCGCAGAGGAGGTGAAGGAACACTGGCTGCTGTTTGGGCAGGTGGCTGTCACAGCGACAGCACATTTCTGGCCTGGCTAGTTGGCAGGCAAAGCTAGTGAATAGGACTCTGGTGTTTGTCTTGCATCAAACCTGCACTGCTTCAACACGAAAACAGCTCAGAAAGCAGCAGCTCTGCACAGCTCTGTGACCTCTGAGCTGGGTTACCTGGTCGTTTGCACCCCCTCCTGCTGTCCTGCAGACACACATAGGAAGGCAGAATTAAGGAGGGACTGGTTAGTATTTGTTGTGCCAGCTCCTACTCTGGGACTAAGAACACTAAGAACATCAAGAGCTCTGCAGAGGCACCAGTAGCAAGCTGATGTGATTCTGGGCAGACTGTGTTTTGCGCCCACGTCTGTCTGAGCTCGTGCATCCACCTGGATCACAGAGGAACCAGTTTTGTTTTCCGAGAGCCTCCTCCACCCATTCCTGCCCACACCTCGCCCTGTGCT